ATGCAAGAAATAAACTTGCAGGTGTGCGAAACTTTTGATGAGACCTCACTGATAAGTTAGAAAAAAAGAAAACATCTTTAATTAATTTTCATATGTTTTGGCTCAATCTTTATAATATTTTGGTCTTATATACTTCTGAAAATGAGTTTTTCTTCTGGTAATCTTGTATAATATAAGAAAATCTGATGGACTTATATCGGAATACGGTATACGGAAGCATATATACCTTTTCGATTAGGCCTGTTCAAATCTTAAGCTGGAAGCCTCTTATGTTACGTAAACCATACATTCAGGCTGCATTCACATCATGTATACGCCACGTTGAGAATGGAATCAAATGCATTAAAAGAGTTGCGCTTATGGGCTGTGGCCGTTGCCCAAGCAGTTTAAATCAACAACAAATGTTAATAGAACTGTTGACAAAGGCAACAGGAACAACAACTGAAGTGCGCACTTCAAAAATGAAAGCGAGGGGGTGAAAGTAAACGCTGTGTGGAGGTCGAGCAAACAATATGCCCGGGCAAATAGCAGCAGCCGTAGAACTGAGCCCAGCTTTGGGCCATGTGCCCAAACTGCAGCTGCAGCAGCAGCTGACCACAAGCTAGGGGCGGCAGAGAGAAGCAAGCCAAGCCCTCGACATAATCCGCAGGTTTTGGCCCCTTGAGAAATAATGCTTAGCTGTTTTACTTTGTTTTTATTTTTCCTTGCGCCTCTCATCGCCCCTGTAATTTTTATGGCATTTTGTTTGCTTTCTTTAATTTTTTCGCTTTTTTTTCTTTTGCTGGCCAGAATCCTGGGAAAGTCTATTATGCTTACGAAAATTGCTTTACAGCTGCGGCAGCGGCTAGAAACAATGCAGCAAAGGTTACACAGCATAAAAGAAATACACACAAAAATGAATAATGACAGTGAATGCTGAAACGGAGGACTGGGCAGATAAGGGGCAGATTACTTTTCGCTAAGGACCTAGGCAACAGAATTCGCTATCAAAGTCTCAGCTGCGGCTGCAGCTAGTGAAAATATTTGCGCAGCCTCAACGGGCGTGGTAGGAAAATGGGCAAGCCAAAAGTGCAGTTAAAATAATTTGCGCATAATGAAGCCGGAAGTGTGAACGCAAAAACAAGAAAAGTACAAGAAAATGGAACTTCATTATCAGTGGCCGAGCAGCGGCAGCGGTGGCATCAAAAGAAAATTACACAAAATCTCCGGCAGGGTTTTCTAATTAAAGTTTCAACGGCGTCGACGCCAAAGTGAAATTAATGGCGTTGCCATTTTTGCCAGCGGTACGTTGTTGCTTTTGTATTTATTTCGCTAGCTGTTGCTGCTTACTGGCCTTTTTTCGTTGCTGCTCAGCTTTATGAAGTCAACGGCTGCTCTTTGGGCACTTAATCTGAAGCTCCTCTCCCGGCCCAGTCCCGAGAACCCCAGTCCAAAATCGCCTCAAACATCTTTGCCGGCAAATGTGTGTAATTTATTTGCAATCAATGCGGCCTGAAAGGACATTATTTTTACATTATAGCCGGACGAACGAAACTGCTTTAGAGTGAAATAGATGGAAATAAAAGCGTGCGTGAGTACACGCCTCACACACACAGAACCTAGAGTGGACGTGTTGCCAAAGTTACGTCAGCAAACATTTGGCAGCTGTCACTTGATATTCCATATACCCTCTAGCTGGCTTATATGCAGGGTATGCTTATCTTAAGAAGCTATAAAAGCTATAGAATTGAGAATAAAATATACGTATGAACGATTGTTGACCGTCAGCCAATTAAAGGGCATTAGCTTGTCTGTTTAAGCAGTTGTTATTATATAATACTAAGGGTACATATATAATATTCCAGAGAGTTTTATATATTTGTTACTTAATATGCAACGTGTTTAAGGAGGCCTGTCAAATCTTTGGATCTTGAATAGGTCCAAATATTTTTCTTCAAATTTTAAATTTAAGAATTCAACATTTGTTTTTCATTTTTTCTTATTTTCTTATATGGTGTATGAAAAATCACAATCGTTCACCTATTTTAGGTGAATGTTAATTGAATTTTCGCCTAGATAATCTATGATACTTAATTTTCAAATGAACTTTCAATACATTTTCACACAGAACAGAGATTGATCGAATAATTGATTAGATACGTTCATTCAAAATTTTACCACATATTTTCCACATTGGCGAGTGGAAGTTTTCAAAGCCCCGACCAAGAAAGAAAATAGTGTTCGATAGTTAGTAAGGCCAATGTTGGTATTTTGCTGTGTAAGAATACTTATATTGAATTCATTAGGTTCAACCAACAATTTCGAACTTGCTCTTCTTCTGTGAATCGCTGGCAACTGGCTGCCACAAATCTTTTGGTGCAGCGCAAAAAGTTTCTCGAACCCGCGGCACGTATCGTGTGTCATAAGCAGAAGCGGCTTAAGGAGGAACGGCAACTGTGACTGCGTCTGCGTCTGCGACTGCTACTGCAACTGCAACTGCAAGTGCAAGTTGGCAACTGCATGGAACGTGCCACTGGCAGTTGGCAAATAAAATTATTAACCTCGCTGCAATGCAACATAAATAGGATTAGTGTCTGCAGTAAATGCACAACAGCAACAACTGCAGCAGCAGCAGCAGCAAAAACAAAGGCCGCAACAAAAGCGACAAGAACGAATGTAGTGTGTGTGCGAGTGTGTTGGTGTGTGTGGATGGGGCAACATTTGCATGTTGCATACTTCACGGTGTCGTCATGCTCATATGATAAACGGAATGGCAACGACAATGCCTCACACATGTGCCCCATTGTCTCCCGTCTCTTCACAGTGCCTGCGCCTCGTGCTGTCTGTTTGTGGCCCGCTCGACGGTTCTTGTCTGTGGCGCAGAAAAATGCGGCTGAGTATTTTAGCAACATGCAAAAAGTTTATTCCGTGCGCCGGCGACGTCGCCGTCCAGTGTATTGACCCCCAAAGAGCCCACACATGCATTAGTCACAAGCCCGACCCTGCCGCAGCCCCCCTGCGGACTCTCCTCTTCCTGTCCGCCCGTTGACTTGTCGTGGTTTTTGCAAAGCGTTTGTTTGCTTTGCGGCTTCCGGTTTTATTTCGAATCCGTTTTACGGATAACTGCATAACCGCTTTAAAATATTTTCGTTTTGTTACCAGCTGCAATTTTGCCAGGCAACTGTTACCATTGTTGCCGAACTGCCGGGCTGACAGCATTTGTGCGGCTGCCATTTCGGGCTGTCAAGAGAAACATCAGTTTTCAGAGGCCACTCTCAATGCAGTCGCTGAGTGCAAACATTTCAATTAAGCGCGAGCAGTATTAAATATCCCCATATCATCATAATTAAGTAGCCGAAGCCCTGAAATGCCATACAGAATGTGCATCCGAGCCTGTCACGTGTTCTGTAAGCAAATTGAGAATAAAGTGATTAAAATGCCGCCGATTTACCATTCAGTTGGGGGAGTGCATTTTAAAGATGCCAATGCGCATTTCCATAATTAACACAATTGACACTCACATGTTTAAGCTGTTATTCCAATTAAAATGTGTCACTTGTGTTACATTCATCGCTAGGTATAATATAATACTCTTGTAGAAAGTAAGATCATTTTACCACCGAATGGGCAACGCACTTACGAAAATATCAATCCATAATATATATAAGTCGCGTAAGGTCAAATAATTAATCTTAAAAACGCTGGCAGGCTGCACAAAGACAGAGTCTACTTCAAAATTTGTTAATTTAAACACAAATAGTTTAATCAAACTATTTTGGTCCTCACAGGTGATCGATCGCAAGCCTAGCCTTAGCCTTAGCCTTATCGTTATCTGTGTTCTTGCCTTAGACAGTTTTCTCTCGTCGCTCATATTTGGTAGGTACCAAGGGACTCACAGTTGATCTACATATTCGTTTTAAACCATATTCATATCTATTCTGTCCGAAATATCTTCATATATATTGAGACTATCGTAAGTTCGACGTTTTCTCAACAAACTAGCTTATTATTTAAGTTTTCCATAAATTTTCCTTCAAAATCATCTGAAAAGGAAAAGTATTGAGCCATTAGTGTGTTTCACTTGCTTTCACGTCTTACCAATCTTATCCATAATTTTAATATTTATACTCGACGATATTGTAATTTAAGCAACTTCTGAGAGGCTTTCACAGACATTTGCTCTGCGTTTGGCTGGAAATATTAAAGCGAAATTGCTCAAATGTTGTGCATACGCCCCGTTGGCTGCATGCAAATTTTATATATTAACCGGCAACGGGGCTCAGTGCCTCGCAGTGTTTTGCTTTGCTTACTCTACTTGCATGCTGCTCGTCCATAATTGCAACATGCCGCAAACACAAGCCACGACATGACGGAGCGTACGAGAGAGACATGGAGTGGTTCGACAGGGGGGTAAAGACTGCCAGACAAGTCAAATAAAAGCCGCGAGCCTCACGATAAAACCCTAGTCAACTGGCTGCTTGAGAGGGAGCTTGGGGTAGAAATTGAAGCGAGTGCCACGGCTAGGCTGAGCTCGTTGGGCTGGTGTTGTTATGACTTAATGTCGCTGCGCCAAGTGACAGTTATGATGGAAGTACACCGAGAACGGAGGGCTTATTAAAATGTCGCAAATGCAAAGTTTATGGTAGCTGCATTACATGCCTCGCACCATAAAAAGTGGACAGGGGCAGGGCAGAAACAAAGCAATTACATAAGTTGAATGATTTTCTTAGGCAACTTTCTAGACAACTGAAATAAAGGTTTCAATATAATCGAGGTGGCAGACCAGCTTTAAATCGAACGCATTTTAGCCCACGGCTTGGGAATTATTTCCGAATTATACTCGGTTCAGTACATTTAAAGGGAAATAGCTTACTAATAATAATAATAGGAATGTCGAGATACTTTCGAAATTACTCTTTAAGCGGTTTTGTCGAGTCTACTTTAAGGCTGCAGTGATAGAACCTATGCACCTCACCATCATTCATTCACTCACAGAGCCTCTCTTTCACTTTGTGTTACAGGCAACATTAGCTGAGTTCCATTAGCGATCACTGTCCTAGTATGCGATGGCAGCAGCGACAGCGACGCTGGAGGAGGATCGTGCCCGGCCCCGCGATATAGCTAGCGATAATAGCGCCCAGCAGCGCACGCTGGCCACGAAGGTGCGTCGAAAAGGACGCGACAGGCGACCACTGCGGCGACTGCATCCGCCCATACCGCTTGGTCAGCTGCTCTGGCTGCTGTGTTGCCTCAGCCAGCTGCGCGCCGAGTGCCCGTCAGTGTGCGAGTGCAAGTGGAAGAGCGGCAAGGAGTCCGTCTTGTGCCTTAACGCCAACCTCACACATATCCCCGAGCCGCTCGACGCAGGCACCCAGCTGCTGGACTTAAGTGGCAACGATATTCAGACTATACCCGATGACAGCTTCGCCTCGGCCCAGCTGCTCAATCTGCAAAAAGTTTACCTGGCCAGGTGTAGGCTGCGGCTCATTGAGCGTCACGCGTTCCGCAAGCTCATCAACCTAGTGGAATTGGACTTGAGCCACAATCAGCTGTCGGCGATTCCCTCGCTGGCCCTTTATCATGTCCCAGAGCTGCGCGAGATACGACTCACGGGCAATCCCATATCGCGTGTGCCGGACGACGCCTTTGGACATGTGCCGCAGCTGGTGCGCCTGGAGCTCAGCGATTGCCGCCTCTCAAGCGTGGCGGTGCGCGCCTTTGCCGGCCTCGAGAGCAGTCTGGAGTGGCTCAAGCTGGACGGAAACCGCCTGAGCGAGGTCAGATCGGGCACAATTACCTCGCTAGCCTCGCTACACGGCCTCGAGCTGGCTCGCAATGCCTGGAACTGCAGCTGTTCACTGCGACCGCTGCGGGCGTGGATGCTCCAGCAAAATATACCCAGTGGCATACCGCCCACGTGTGAGTCCCCAGCGCGTTTAGCTGGCCGCGCCTGGGACAAGCTGGATGTGGATGACTTTGCGTGTGTGCCACAAATCGTTGCCACAGACACAACCGCCCATGGCGTGGAGGGACGCAACGTGACGATGAGCTGCTACGTGGAGGGCGTGCCCCAGCCGGCAGTGCGCTGGCTGCTCAAGAACCGATTGATTGCCAATCTGAGTGCGGCTGGCGCGGGCGAGGATGCCGAGGAGCCGCGCACAGCAGCCGCTACGCAGGGTCGCAAAACGTATGTGGTTAACATGCTGAGGAATGCCTCCAATCTGACGATACTCACCGCGGACATGCAGGATGCGGGCATCTACACCTGCGCCGCAGAAAACAAGGCCGGCAAGGTGGAGGCCAGCGTAACGCTAGCCGTGTCCCGCCGTCCCCCGGAGGCGCCTCTCGGCGTGCGTATTGTGCTGCTGGGCGTGCTTGCAGCGCTGCTTTTTGTGGTGGGCTCCTCGTTTGCGGCCATATGCTTCTGCTCGCTGCGAAGGCGCCGCAAGCTGCGATTGTGGAATTCGGTGCCGCCAGTGCGGCGCAGCGAGAGCTACGAGAAGATTGAGATGACAGCCAGGGTGCGACCGGATTTGGGTGGCGGCGCCAGCTGTGGCGGTGGCAGCGGCACTGGCGCGGGTCTCTTTCAGGATGCCGAGGAACAGAGCTATCTGCGGGCTGCGCACACACCACTTAACGACCACGATGCGGGGCAGGCGGCCATTGTGAATCCGAGCGCTGGCAATGGTACGCGACGCAACGGCGACTACCTGCATGTGTCCACGCACTGCGACGACGACGAAGAGGACACCCAGCAGCCACAGCAGGCACAGCCATCGCAGCCATCGCATCAGTCGCAGCCAAGAAAGGGCTCCATGGCGAGCAATGGTATTTCCGCATCCGCAGCGAATAATTCTGTTGCGGCCACCGAGGAAACGGATCTGCACATACCGCGTCTGATTGACATCGGCGGGTAAGTTGACCTTCCTCCGCCTCCTCAGCATACCAGCCCCTCCCTACCCATTGCTTTTGTTCTCTGCTGTTCGTTACTTCGAGTGGCAATTGTCCTGTTGCAGTCGCCCCGTCAAAGAGCTGTCATACTCTAGTGCGCTTCTCGCCCGGATCCGTTCATATTATGGGCAACACTTGACACTTTCCGCTTGAGTGCTGCTGCACCAACGACTCCCCCCTCAGCGCACCTCACCCCTTTCACACCTCTTCCTCACCAGCGTAAAGGCGGTTGCTAATGATGCGCGAAATATGCGATGGCTGCCACACGCGTCGTATGAGTATTTTATTTTTGTGCGCCCCTCGTTGATTGGCACCTCTCATGTTGGGGCAAACGAGCATGGGCAGTGTTCCAAGTGCCTCTCATATGCAATATAATGAATATAGAATATGTGTACTTTATGTGACAAGAAGAAGGGTTGTCTCTGTAGCCAATCCCAAAAATAGATATCAAGAAGAAGAAGGGGTTGTTCATTAATCAATAGACTCTGACAGAGCTTTTCAAGAAATGAGAAGAGCTTGCAACAGATTTAAGAATATGTGCAACTAAAAAGGATGAAGAAGGTGGCTAAGGTTATACAAAATCATGATTAAAATTGGGGCTTAATCCTTATTATTTTTCTTAATTTTTCTAGGCAAATCATTTTTAAGTAATGACTGTAGATGATGTTTATTTTTTTAAAAAAAAAGTTATGTTGTGTCCCATTTAGAGTTTAAAATTCAGGCCGATTGTTGGTTCATTTCAAAGAGGAAAAATACATTTCTTTTTTTCGATCAAAATAGAACCCATTTGTCGATCAATACATTTTTCGGCAAACTTGTTTTTTGCGTATGTTTTATAGTTTCGGTGGTTCACTTAGTTAGGATGAGAATTGGCATATATCTTGCCACAGCGCGCTATGACACATTCGTAATTCCCTATTCAGGATTACATTAAAAAGATCATACAGCTGTTCTAAGCCATTACGGAAAGCAAAATACCCTGCTGCTCCAGAAAGAGTACGTCATAAGGATCGCATTTGCCCTTTCGCCCTTGGATTAACACTTGTTTCTTCTCACTTTTTCTAATTGCAACCTATACCTGTACATTATGCAATTTTACAGCACTGACTCAGCTTCTAGTTCGATATCTAGTAAGGTGGATGCCGCTGCTCGACTTGCTGGCTATGCAGGACACGCTGCAAGCTGGAAGACAACGCCAATAGCAACCACAAAGATCACGTCGCCGCAGAGCAAATCGACGGCGACAACTCAGGCCACAAACACGCCCTGCTCGGCCACGCCCTATAGCCACTATGGCAATCACACGACGGACGAGATGGCCACCTCCGTGTTCTGCAGCAGCAATGGCGACGGCCAGGAGAGTGATCTGTTCGACAGCAACTATCCAGATCTACTGGACATTGCCAAGTACGCAGTGGCACAGGCGGCGCAATCGGGCCACGCCTATGCGCCAGCTGGGTCGGCCCCAGCCAACGGCGGCCTCTGCACCCTGCCCCGGAAGCTGAAGCATAGTGGCAAGTATTTCCGCAACTCTTCGGACAGCCAGTCGCCACTGCTGGCGGACAACTCAAGCAAGTATGGCAGCAGCACGCTGGGAGACGGCAGCTTTCTGAACGAGGCCATGGGCCTGGGCAGGCGCTACTCGGCCGAGTCTAGCTATGCGAACTACGCCAGCACCGCAACCTACACGGGTGGTGGCCAGCGTGCCAATAGCTTCTTGAACCTGGTGCACAGCGGTGGCCACAAAGGTGCCATGCATGGGCACCATTTGGGCCAGAAGCCCAGCCTCCCTTCGTCGCCTGTGCAACACCAACGCTCACTAAGCAGCGCGGCGACGCCGCTGCTTGATTTCTCGGCGCTGGCGACGCGTGCTGCAGGCGCGGCTAACTCGTCGGTGGCTGCTTACGACTATCATGCGGCGCAGCTGGAGCGTTTCTTAGAGGAGTATCGCAATCTGCAGGATCAGCTGTGCAAAATGAAGGAGACCTGCGACACAATACGCAAGAAGGAGACGCCACTTCGCGGCGCCATTGGGCAGTCGGCTGCCCAGCTGGCCGACCCTGTGATGTACAGTGCGGCGACTGCCTCGCACAGTCCGAAGCCGCCAACAACGACGCTGAAGGCGAAAACATTGCTGCCCGGCCAACCTCCCGATCCCCCGCCCTATTGGCTGCACCGCAACGCCATGCTGAAGCGCTTGAATCCAGATGCCAATGGCACGGGCAATGGGCCCTCAAGCGCCTCCTCGCCACAGCCCGGTCAGGATATCTTCAAGAGCTAATCGAACTTGTGTACAGCCAAGGAATAAACCAGAAACCAGAAAAACCTTCGGTGCACCGAAGCCTACATACACTTGCAGAGGTACCCTCAAACTTTCACTATTTGTTTTTATTTATGTGATTTTGGGCTTGTTTTAAAGAACTTGCCTTAGAAAATTTTAAGGATGTCTGCTGAGTTGTTTTTCGAAAGTTAAGTTTTCGAAGGGTTTCCCCTATTGAAAGCAAAATTTGAGGTTTTTTTTGGGGAAGAGAGATTCAAACGTTTTTTAATTTGATATACATATGTGATGCAATGATTTTTGAAAAAATATCAATATTATTCACTATTTATCTGTTATCATTTTATTCGGATAAGCTTTTGTTTTCCAAATGTTTAGGATTTTTTATAGTTCTGCAAGGTAATGTCTCTCAATATGAAATTTCTCTTAATTAGGCTTAGGTAGATGGGGCTCTTAACTGGTTATAACGCCAGCCCCTCTATTGTATTATAGAACACACACACTTTTCCACTCTTTCTACTCGGTACGCATATTCAACAGTCATATCGTAAGTGTATAGACAAAAGCCCCTATTTGAAAATCCTAACCTGATTGATAATTCCAAGACCCAAAGCTCTCGTGTTAGTCAAACTAAAAGTGTTTTTGTACTTTAAGCGATCTCATAAAAAAAAAAAACAAAAGAAGTAATAATAATTATTAATTAATTCAATACAATATGTATATTCTAAGTGGAATTGAGTTGGCACTGACTGCAGGCATTGATTGATTGATTGATTGATTGATGTATTGTTTGATTGTTAGACATTTTATTAGAGCTTTAAGTTATGATAAAGCAAATCAAAGTTTGAAATGTGGGAGTATTTAAGGACGCCAACTCAATTCAAACGAAAAAATTGTAATTAACAATAATAACAGCAACAAGAACAATTTATTTTAGGGTGTCACTAAACTAAAACTCAAAAGACAAAACAAAAAGAAATAATAATAAATTAGTTGAGAATTGAAAAAGAAAAACACAAAAAATGGCAACAATACCAAAGCGAGTTCTAATGTCGCTTGCGGTGGAGGTGGGGTCAATGACTGGCTCAATCGACAACCGTGCAAATGTTCATTTCCGGTTTGCGCCCTTAATCAGTGAGTGGGCGTGTGGGTGTGTGGTGCATGTGGAGGGCTATTTAAAGTAATTGTCGCTTGTCGCGCGACATTCACTGTGTTTTCTCTGCAAATTACGTGGATATGTGTGTGTGTGTCTGTGTGTGTGTGTGTGTGTGTGTGTGTGTGTGTGTGTGTGTGGCTGTGGGCGTGCTTGGCTGCCACGCCCCGGTCAGTTGGCAAGATTAAACAATAATTTTATGGAACACACACAGAAACGTACAAATCGCACCAATTGGTTTTGTGTGAAAATTGCGAGCATTTCTTTTATTTCTTTTATTTTTCTTCGCATTTGCCAGCTCAAATAAAGTTGTAAAATGCAAATGAAGTCGCGTCGACGTCGTCGCGTTAAAGTTCATGTTCGATGTGATGTCGCCATAAAGCAGGATTAAAAGGAATTTATGAACCTTTGACACGGACGCAACCCGGCGCTGCGCCCACAACGACAGCAGCGGCAACAACGACATGATAGCGGACACATGCGGGCTCCACGTTCTCTCCCCCATCTCCCCAGAAGCCCTCCATTCGCAGCTCACATCCACATTCCGCACCACATACAATGACACAGAGCGTTGCTGACATTTTGTTGACCTGCAGGCATTTGAATAAAAAATGTCGCCTACTTTCTGGGGCCACATATGAAACAATTTGTGCCAACGCCGCGCAGCGGCAGGGGAAAAGGGAACTAAATGCTGGGATATACCAAAAATCTCTCTGCATATACAGCTTATACATTTTAAACTCTGAAAACTCTATGCACTACTGGAAACAAAGACAGTTCCATATACTCTGGGTCATTAATAGGTAACAAGTGGTTCAACGAATGTGTAACATGTCCGCGGAACATATAAACATTTTGACTTGACATTTTAAAAAATAAATTTAATTATTTACCGATTCTTCCTATGGAAGTTATATGATATAATCCACATATATTCGGTTCCATATAAAGTAAAAGTAGACCGGAATGTTCAACCAACCCATTGCAGCTTTATGATGATCACGACGATATCTTTCAGACAGAAACTAAGTGGTTTGCATAGAAACAGATGACGGACAGGCAGGCAATCTCGGCTGTTGATACCAATCAAAAATATTTATTTTAAGGGGTCAGAGTTGCAGCCTCGTATTCTTTACACATTTTATGTCAAGAGGAACTAGGGTATACAAACAGTATAATATCAGTATGAATTAAGAGCAAACCAATACTTAAGCTCATTGGAAAATACAAAAATTCTGTAAGAGCAGTTTCAAATGTTAACCACAAGTTCGCCAAGCTCTTTGTGGCTTGTCGGCTTTAAGGTCTACTCACACATAGATGCACACAGACACAGACACACACACACACATACTGCCACATAAATATCCCAACATTACCATTACCGGTCCCATTTCTCTCCCTTGGCTCCACGTGGTTGCTCCTGCTGACCGGCTAAAGCGAAAATAATGAGCCCAATGTAGCTGGCTAAAGTGTAAGTGTGTTTGTGTGCTTGTGTAAGTGTAAGCTGGAAGCAGGCACATTGGTAACGCGCAGCAGCAACGCTGAGAGCAGTCGAGTTCATGTCAAGCTGTCAGTCAAGGTCGATTTCGTTTGCTGTTTGCCGCTGCCCCTGGCCAGGTGGCAGCTATGCGCCTTGTGCAACATGCCAGCACATCACCAAAGGGCTGTAGCAGTGAGTTAAGCAGGCGCACACACACGTACACATAAACACATACACACACACACACACACACACACACACATGCATCTGGCCTGGCAAGTGGCTTTTTGTCACTGTCTTCGGGCTGCCAGTGCAATTTTTATGCTCGTCAGTGTGTGCCCACCGAGGCAGCAGATAAATTGTGTATACATCGCAGTATATGTGTGCGTGCTCGTGTATATGTGTGTGTGCATGTGTGTGCTTGGGAATTTTTTCATCATTATCAGTGTCCTTGTAACCGCATCTGCTGCTGCCACATGCCACTTAATGCCAACGCTGCACGTTCCACTTTTGCATGTCGTCTTCGCCTTTCGCTGCGGCCTTTTGTGGCCGCCGCTGCTGCTGCGTCGCACAATTGCATGCCACAGGCCAGCCACAGTGCCGCCGCCCCCAAAACACCCCCAAATCCGAGGGCATGGCCATTATATTCAAGCATTTTTGTGTGGCATAAGTTGGCACTTTAGCGTCAGGAGGCAGCTGCTACCTGTTCAGTTGCTGTTTCAGTTACAGTTTCAGCTCTCGCCTGGCTCGGGCTTTCGTTTGCTTTAGCCCAGCTCAGGACGTGCCGCCATTTTGTTGTCCTTGGATCCGCCTCTGTTACTCCAGCCCGCTACCTTTTATTTCTCAATTGGCAATATTGGCAATCGATATGTGCGCTAATAGCTGCGTGCAAAACCATAGCCACATGTGTGTGTGTGTAATGGATGTTGCACTATTCGAGCTGCGCCAGGCGAAGGCGTTGCACACGCGGCGTCAGCTGAAAAGAACAACTTTTACCAGCTTGCAAATTGAAAAATAGTTTTCCGACATTGAACAACAAAGTTGCAAATGACAATGATAAACGCAATTATTGATTAGCTCGCCATTTGTGGGCCCACCTTAAAATTAGAACTGAGTAGACTTTAAGTAAGCTTAAAGAGGCTCAGTAAATTCAACAAGTAGGCCGCAGGCAACTCGAAGCATCAATGCCAACTTATTTTCAACTGCAACTACACTCGCATACGCAGTAATGAGTACACTGATTTTTAAATGCTGAAAGTAAATATTATATAAAAAGTAGTTCGCCAATAGTCGTTGACAATGTCAAGGATAATGAGCACAGTTGACTTTGTTTGGCTGTGTTGTGTTCTTCATCCTTGATTTAATAAGTAGGTAAACAGTTGAATGGTAACATTTTATAGACAATTAGAGCAGCATGAAAATGCCTTTCTAGTCCATTATAATTGGACTTTAAACCAAACAAATATGCTAATACGCTGCGAGTGGGTCAGAACCAAAACAAATACATTTAGCTATAGCTTTGGTTAATTAAAGCCCCTCTTTATCCAGCCACCGAAACCCGATTTGATTGCCTAAAGAGACCAAATGCAAAACAAATGAAGCCACTAAAAGCTGCCAAACCGAAAGGCCGACAAAGCACGAAATGCAGTGCAACAACAACAGTGCTTGGCAAACGAAAACAACAACTGGAGCTGCCATTGCAAACCAGAAAAATTCAACCGAGAGAAGCCTTGCACAAAGTTTGTTTTGGAAAAGAGGTCGGTAAGCCCAAAAAAAAAAAAGAAACTAAAAACATAGAAAATAAATGAAAATGAAAACTCAGACACAACCAAGGCGACGACAGCAATGCAAACGAATATATATATATATATATATATGCATATAGATATATAGACAGAGGGAGAGTGTCGAGGTAGTCAAGCAGGACAATGTAGCTGATGAGAATACGGATGCACACCAAGAAGATTATCCTGTTGCTGTCAAACAGTAACAACAACAACAGCAGCAACCACAAAGATTTCAAGTGCATCGCAAGGCCATAATCCGCAGAGCCGTAACCGTAACCGCTTTACAGGGCCACGACAGGCGGCGCAGTCCACAGATTGAGCCACACTCACACACATACAAACACACACACTGGAGCAGACATCTCAGTGCTGGCTGTCCGGGCCCGAATGCCAGGATACGGGGCTGCCAAAACTGCCATAACATGGCTGATTACCCGCTGCAGTTGCCGCCTCGCTGTTGCAAGTGCCGCAAGCCGTTGAAGTTGCCTAACCGCTGAAACGGCCCCCGGCAAAAGTTTCATTAAAGTGGCAACTGCCACTAGTCCTACCTCACACCCCCGCGCTCTTTGATGTAGCTCTTAGCACTCACCTGACTTGACAGCCGGCGCTTAACTTTTTGGCCTTTGTAATTGCCCTGCACTGAAAATTGGCAACGTTCTGTTGCAGCAGCTGCAGATTAAATTGTTTTCTTTTTTTTGGAGTTCACCAGTTAAGAGAATTTTTAAATATGCTATCTAATCAACTGCTACATAAATAAGTACTACCTTTGCTTGGGATCGTGGAATCGTAGCTGAACGAAAAACAACTTATTAACTTGTAAGTAGTTCAAATCAGACGTTAATTGTATATATCTGCCTAATAATAGTAACATTTAATATTGACATCCTTAACAACAATCATATAAGTGTATGGGTCACAAAGCAGCAATTAAAGGCCAAATGTGGCCACCCCTTAAGCTCAAATACAAAATCCCTGCAGCAGTCAGGGTCCAAGAGCTTAATGGCATCTCAATAGGTTGACTTTACAAACGTATCAATTTTTGGTCAACAACTTTTTTTAACCCCTCGATTTTTAATTTGCTTGAATGCCATTTGTAAAGGACGAATTCAAAAAGAAATAACCTTTCAAATCAGACGATATATACCTCAGACATTGAAAAACAAGTAAGAGGTTCTAGACGGGAGCTCCCGACTGATTCCTTTCGATTACGATTAATCCATTGCAAATTTGGTTTCTCCAGCTCTGAGGGAACTCAGAACTATGCTAAAAAAATGCATACTTTACAAATGGGAAAGATATCGCGATAAATTATAATATAGGATCGTTTGAAGAACAAATACTATTTTCCACATGTACAATCATTTAGAGATGTAACCCAATCGATTTCTATGCCAATCTATGTATATTTAATATTTACCCAAGAATAACTACAACAACTACAACACAGAAATAAAGCATTTGATGTAGTTGTAAATGGATTGTGGCCAGCAAGTAAAATGTTGTTATAAAATGCGCCGGAAGCGCAACAGTCAGCATCAAAAGTAAAACACCCACACCCAAACACCTCGCTTGCTCCGCCTTTCCCTCTCTTAGTCTCTCTCTCTCTCTCTCACAATCTCTCTGCCTCTGTCTGTCTGTCTGTCGCAAGCATACACAATGCAAAGTAACCAATTTCAAAGTTGAATCGTTTAGTGAAATCACTTGAGGCGATTAAAATCAATCACAGACAATCAGCGCCAGCTAACTGCAACACCAACAACATCTTCAACTGGTGGCAAACAGAGGGAGAGCCAGTCAACTGAAGGATCTGCTGAGCTGTTGAGCAAACGGAGGAGCCAGCTTCTATGGACAACATTTTTCATCTCGCCCCTTTTGCGATTTTATTTAATTTACACTCATAGCCAAGTCGAGAGCTGTGGCAGCTCTTTCCCTCTGCTCACCTGCTGCTTCAGCTGTTGCTGCGTAGAGAAAAATTTGATTTTAAATTGGTTTTGGCATCGATGAGCGTAAAGTTTGTTTGGCTGAAACTAACAAAGTCCATTTTCATATAACAGCAAAACGAATGAAGGCCAAGGAACTAGGTGTTGTTTGGCATCAAAATAGCCACAAGCGATGTTTTCTTTTTTTTTTATCAATATTATTCTAAACTGAACAAGAAAAAATAGCTGCGTTAGAGTTGTCGAAGATGGAATACCCTAAATGATAAAATTGTCCGAAAATGTTGAATTTATTTTGATATATTATTAGCCATTCTCTGACTAATATGATAAATTGTTAGTGCAATGCTGATGATTTTTAATCCCATATGAATCGAACTTTCCCTTATATGTTAAAAAACAAAAAAACACAAAAAAAGAATCTTGTTATCAAACAGAATTTGTGACCAATTGTGTATATGGAACCTCGGCTGCTGATTGTAATAGGAAATGTAGTGTGCATTAAAAAATACATGGCAAAATTTAAAAATTCTTTGCAGGGGTATCCAAATGCAAAAAAAAAAATATTTACAACAAATGTGAACATTATTCGACAATGCCCGACTGGAATATACATCTAAAAGCCCAATTAAAAAGCATAAATAGACTTTAGTCTTCAGAAGTAAACACTAAAAAGACTTCCTATATTATACCCAACATGATCAGAGATTAATAATACTTGTACTCTCGGCTGTTGTAAATATAACATAACAACAAGCAGTAGCATAAACAACTTGCAAAAGTGTCGATAAATATTTGTGGAGGGCAAATGAAATTGGTCGGGACAAAAAAAAAAACAGAATAATCATATGAAACTAAATGCGAAAAAAGAAAGCAATTGTGTTTTTAATGAAATGCAAATGGAAAAAGGGAAACGCTACAATGCACAAGCGGAGCAGACACCTTCTACAGGCAAATGACTTAATTGGAAGGTGTCAAAAGGGAGCAAATTGTATCAACAGTAAGAAATCAAAAACCTAAACGGAACACGCTCCACCGCTGCCCTAAGCGCTTGTCACTCATCTGCCTTGTAGCTTGAGCTATTTTACTCTTTTAGAATATTTAATACAATGCAAGTAGAGGTGAAATGAACTTAAATACTTATTAAAAGCTGAAATATGAACGTGCATATGAAATTCCTTTTACGATAAATATTTTATGGTATTATTTAAAATTAAATATCAATATCTCCATAATTTCATGCAAAATATTTGTTAGTTTCAGATCATTGCAAAAAGAATAAATCCAGGCTACATTTTGTTCATAAACTATTCAAAAACGTCTATTTAGAAAGTTTTCTCTTCGTGAAGAATTCTGGGCTGTCGTTTGCCAATTTATGTCTAACTAGAATTTTACAACTCATATCCATAACATCGCTTTATTTGAAGCTTAGCATATGCATACAATTAATCTTGCACCGAGAGATCTTTTAAGTGTATTAAAAGTTCGTCAAGCTGACAATTTTTCAATTTTTAACTTATTCACTCGCTCGCTCGTGCTTTCATTCATTCAGTCACTCATTCAGTCGTTCATTCATTTGTTTATGCTGTTGGTTTTGTGCCCCCAGACTGACTTCATTTGAAAACTTTTGCCATATTTTACGGTACCGCAATAAATTGTTGCCTCTGAGTGTTGCGACTCCTCCTAACTTTCACTGGCCCCCATTCGTCCCATTCCCATGCCCCATCTCATCTATTTTATGGCAACTTTTGCATATTTTTGGCGAATTTCAGTCACAAGTGGAGCTGCAGCCGTAGACGCAACTTCTATGGCAAACTTAAATGATTTTTAATTATGCAAAAGCATATAAAATATTTTATATTACGTTAAACAAAACCAGACTTTAGATATCAATAATTAAAGTGGGCAGCAATTTTAATGTAGTTTGGTAATGCAATTCAAAAGAAGATAAATATTGAATTAAAAGCAATTGAAATTGCGATTGCAATTGAAACATGCTATTAAATGTTTTGCATACGAGTTTCTTGCTTATACTCTGTGACCATGCGAATGAACATGAGGTTGCTGAAGTTGTTCTTTTATCCATCTAACTTCTCAACTCTTTGTCTTATGCTCCCCCACAAAACCTGAGCGATGGGCTTAAGAACTAAATCTTATAAAAAATAAAAAATTTATGTACGGTTCGCAGTATTGTAGCCAAATCAAAATATTATCTTTTCGTTAATATTATATCATAGTTAACGATTCGAAGTTTGTTTAAAATTATTAATTATTAAATTTAGAAGTTAAAATTGAGCTCAAGTATGCATAAACCTCATGAACAGGCGTTTGTAGGTTTCTTTGGCCGAGTTGGTCCACTTTGACACTTACTGGGTATCTTTGAGTCGATGCAATTATACACCACGAAATTTTGACTTGTTTTTCAATTAATCTTTTCTAATTTATTGACACTGGCACAATTGCAAAATGGCTTTTGTGCATTGTTCGCTGGCTTACCGTAGAGTAATGTATAATTTATGCAAATTTCGCTAAATCAATTTTTAATTAAAATCACACACAAAACACACACACACACACACCAGTACACACACACACGCACACACAATCGCAGCTGCAGCAGTCAAACAAACAATTTAATTTTCGGTCTCGCATTTTGGCCTCGGGGCATGGTCAAGTAGGCGTACGTAAACAAATCAATATGTCCAGCCATCCATCTATAGATCCATCAAGCTGTCCGGTTATCCTCTTAATCCATTCCATTTCATTTCACGCATTGCAAAGTGAGCACAACGATTATTCGCCTTCTATTTGCATAGTACTAAAAATTCAAACTAATGTGTTCCATTGATGTAAATGCCATAGTCGATTCTCCTTTGAATATAACATATCTGATTTTCACAGAAAACCACTCTCTATAGGCATGTATACATATATGTAAAATGCATAATGAGTATTGAGTTTCCATCATTTATATGAACTTTGTTGATGGATTGAAATGAATGGAAAATATTTTCAATGCAATCCTTTCCATCATTAGAACAACGAATCTATTCGCGCTTATACGTCGCTGAGTCCAGATATATACACTTTTTATTCCCATCAAAATGCAAAGCAGAATATATTTTTTTCAAAAGTTGCACCGATCCAATTACTTTACTCAAGATATAAATTTAGAGGACATATAATATATTTATATTTCCCAAAAAGCGGCAGTCATACAAACGGGGAGTAAAAGGGAAATTTCACTTTGCCAGAGAGAAAGAATATGTGCTCCAATCGAAAATATCAGACAAAGCTTATGCAGCTTCTTCTTCGTGTCTTTTAAATCTTTGCTTTTTTATATCCGACCTTAAAAATAAAGTTCTCTATCAAAATCGACCTCGAAAAGTGATCAGTATCAAAAGCCATCTTATGAACTCATATTGGCCCCTTAGAGTCGATCAGTATAATGTAAATTGAAAAACTCATATGATCAGAAAGTTACCTTATTTCTGTAACAACGAATATTCCCATATTCCCTCACATAAGCAAAATCTTTTCAAAATTCAATGACTATACCCAGCAGTTCCCACAGAAACAACCAATCGGGAATAAAGTATCTATATGAAAACAGTGTTAATTATTGTAGAAACAATAAAAACATTGCCCACACCATTAAGTGAATATTTATTTGCTTATTGTTTATGGTATTTTTATCATTATAAATACGAAACGCTTATTTATAGACCTGCATGCAATAAAAATGGTTAATTGTTGAAATTAATTGTGTGTAAATATTAGTGGGCAATAACAATAAAATGGCAATTGCAAAGTGTCAAACATATGGTCAGAGCAAATATATTTTTCGAAACAGGATACGCAGCTCAACACGTGTGCACAAATTAAAATGTCAAACAAAATCGCACTTCCACCTCATCCGCGACTCCCTCAACCCTAGCCTGACTTACACACAGCATAGCATTTCCGTAGCTGGCATATCCGTTTCCGCAGACGCAAGTATTATTATTATTATTTACCTTCTCGCCTTTTTTTCAGTTTCTGTGCAGTCTGAATTTAATGAGTCGGAGAAAGGAGTTCGCAATTAGAATTTTCATTAGTGTAGATTTTCAGTTCGGCTATACTCCATAAAATTGAATTAAATTTCTGCATGCGCAGCCCAGATTTTCAATTCAATCTCGATTGAAGCCGCCAATCGGTCTGCTGCTGTCGATTGCAGCTATAATTAATTTGTACGGAAATCAGTTGCCTGTTGACAATGCAATCTCGGCGACAAATCTGTTTTCAATTAATGGCAAATTGTCGAGCACGTAAAGCCGTGCAAGCAAGCAACAACAAGCTGAGCAACTGCCGGACCAGCCGGACCTGCACAGGCTTTGGATGGCTCAAAAAACAAAAGCAAAACAAAAACAAACAAAACTTACCAACACTCGCCTGGAAATAGTGTGTGTAGTAAATGGCACAACATGACCAGAGAGTGTGTAAGACCGAAAGCATTTTCTACACAATTTCACTTACGAACTTATTGCACACATCTTGGGAGGGGGCAGGCAAAAAATAAATAGGGCGTAGACTTATAAGAAAGGGAGAAATTGGTTAAAAAGTCAAGTAATAACAATACTTGAACTAGTTGGGCATATCGGAGAGGCCTCGGTAACGATTTTATGTGCAGTCAAAAACACTTTATCAACCGAGAAACGAGAAACAAGCCACATGGCGAAATAGCCTCGTTATCATTTATAGAAACTCACTCAGTCTGTCGCATAGAAAATGGAAAATGTGTAAATGCAAACATTGAAAATGGGCGCAAGTCTCCAGAGAATCCCTTGGCGATAGACAGACAGCATCACAACATAAGTAAAATACTTAAGATAAGCAAAAGTGATGGGCGAGCGGTCTCGGGCAATTTTGGTATTTCGTATGGTCATAACCATAAGCAGCAGCAAAGGGACAACGAGGACGAACAATACACAATGTTCGAGTACTCAAGGGTGCTATTAACTAAAGGGTTACGCAATTACATGCTGCCAGAGAGTGTGATAAAGAGAGTGAGAGGGGAAGAGAGGGTGTGAAAGCGCGCTTAAACATACAAAAGCCAAAGGACACTCGAAGCGGCAGCTGCGAGATATCTGAAACAGATTTCAATGTTGCTCATGTTGTTGTTGTTGTTTACATAAATTGTTTACCAATCTGGTCGAAAATCGGAATTTCAAATTTTGCCAACGAAAATTTATGCGCACATTTATACAATTTACATTTATCCACCCACGAACACACACATGAGGTTAGGCAAAGGATATGCATCTAGATCTCATTTCGTTTGTTTTGGGACAGCAAAAACACGCAAAACAACAGAAAAAACTCCTCAGACAAGGAAACAGCCACTTCGTGCCGTATTGGGCCAACGCCTAGCAAATTTTGGCGGCTCTGCTTGTATTTCCTATCGCTCGCTGATGTCCTGTGGGCCTGTCCAGGCGATAAGTAGACGTCAGACAGACGCACGACAAACAATCACAATGTTGCCGCCGACTTTAAGGCTGCCCAATTATGTGTTATCCTGTGCTGGCTGTACATATGTCAACGTTGCCGCCTCCTCGAGCATTGCACCTGAAAATGTGATTTAAATTGCAAAACTAAACAACAATCAGCCGCAACTGTAGCTGGTCAGTCTACTGGTCCTGGTGCTGGTCCTTGTGCCAGTGCCTGGGCATGCGCCTGCGCCCCTGTCCGTCCGCATGTCCTGCAAGTTTATGCGTAAGCAGACGATTTGCAGCCACCTCTGCTTCTGCTACTGTTGCATGTCAACAGTGGCGTTGACGGCAGAGATTAAGATGCAAATTTCGGCTAAAGCCTAACAACAACAGCAACAAGACCAA